ATATCATACGGGATCCCGAGGTGGGGCTAGCTACAAAAGTGTTCGGCCAGAGAACAGTGACACGGAAATTATAGAGCGGATGCTGGACGAGCTCCAGCTCTCGGACGAGCAGCGAAACGTAATCGACGCTCTTATCAAGGAGCAGGTCAAGATCAAAGTAGAAGAAGCAGCAGCAGCAGAGCGCCCCGCAGCACAGAGCGAGGGCATGCCTCCCGAAGGAGGCGACACCCGGCTAGAGAGGCCGGCTGGCTCGGAGTCAAGCCCGCGACCCGAAGACCAGCCCCGATCGCCGGCGGACGTCAGCCTCATCGACACCCTCGCGCGGGCCTTGCAGAGGGTCAAGATAAAACCGGAGGATGAATACAAGAAAGTCCCAACCCCTAAAGAAACAAANGACTGATGCGGATATCTCGGCGTTGAAGGTGGAGCATGGGACGGTAGCTGTGGATCGGGCAGTTAAGGCATGGCAGCTGATAATATCCAAGATACAAGTACCCACGATAGTCCCTGCAATCCTAGCTAGTGGTTGCCCCACTGAATCGTGGGATCAGTTTCTCAACTATTACCGAGTGCACGCAGAAACGGACAAGTTGGAGTTGCAAGGGCAGTGGTACTCGTTGAAGCAGCAAGTAGGGGAGGAGCCCCGGCGCTATCTCACAAGAGCATCAGTACTTCGCCAGAAACTAGAAGCGTTCGGTTGGATGCAATCCGATCATGATGCTAATGTCCACTATGTACATAACCTTCTGCCCGATTTCAATGTGCAGAGGAGCGTGTTGTTGGCGCATTCGGAGGTCAAGACGGAATTGGTAGAGAAGGTGATTCTGACTGCCTGGGCGAAGACGGAGGCCGCTAGGAAGAGGGCGTCGGAGAGCGTGGGGGCGTATGCCCTCGTCACTGGCGGCGACAACCGTGGTGGTGGGGGCGGGAACATGGGGGATAGGGGAAAGACGAGAGGACAGCGGAGGACGGCAGCGCGGCAACANGGAACATGGGGGATAGGGGGAAGACGAGAGGACAACGGAGGACGGCAGCGCGGCAACAGCAGCAACATCCGCAGCAGCCAGAGCAGCAGCATCAGCCGTACTTCAAGCAGCAGCAACAGGTACACCCGCCGCCGTACCCGCCTGAGATAAAACATTGTGACCTCCACAACTCCT